CTTAGGGGTGGAATATTATCAAAATCTTTATGTAATTTAGGTAGTCCATGGGCTCTAGCAGGCATATTTTTATTTGGTTACAGGGATTGGGGCTATGTATTCACCATGTATGCGTGAAGATCATGTGCTTCGAATTGAATTTGCTAAACAAGAATATGATCCACAAGGACCACTTGGATGTTGTGAGGTAGCAGTGAGAAATACTGCTGGTACTACTACAGAGGCAGAATGCAGGCAGTTTACATATGGTATGGGTCCAGTGGCAATTCCAGGGGAAGAAAAAGAGGCACTCATGCTCTCTTCCCTTCCCTGCCCCTCCCAGCAGCAACCAAACTCTGGAGTTTCCAGTGTATTTGATTTCCAAAATAGATAAGGGAACACCCTAACCTGTCCCTTGATTGCCTGTTTTTTTAACAGATTTAGTTATACAATTTTTTTTCTGGCAAGTTATGCTGACAAGGGAGTGCTTGGAATGTCCGCTGGGGTGTTGAATTAAGCACCCATCTGCCTCTTTGCTGGCACCGCTACTAATTAGGAGGTTTGAGTTGGTTTTTTTCAGAAATATATCTCGCTCATAGTCCACTATCCTCACCATTGATTTGTCTGATTTACTAGGTGTCGGGGTGTGGAGCTTACCAGCGTGTGGTGCAAGGTCATCTGGCCTCAACTCTGTGGCACAAAATATTAGGCCTTGCTGTGTGGGACTAGCTGGAAGATGTGAAATGCTCAGTCATGAACACTGCACTATTATTCATGGAACTTTCCATCAGCATGACTATGAACACTGTAGACAGGTAACTATAACTGTTATTATACCATTGTCAAAGAACCATGCATGTTTTTGAATTGTAACAAAGGTTAAAGTGTGTACATATTATACATATTTGTATGTAGTGTAAATTTATTCATTGGGACACCCATTCTGGGTGAAATTTCTAGATTGTAGAGAGCTTTGTTTCCATATTCTTTTTAAAAAATTACAATTTTCATAAAGTGTACATTTTTGTTATAGGTCTATGTTCTTTTTTTGATGTTATTCATTTATTTTGTTATTATTTATTCCTCAAGGCCCTTAATTAATACTCATTTAAAGTCATAATAAAAAAAATGATTGGTTATTGTTGTTGGTTTAACCTAAAATATAATATTCTATTGACATACGGTTTTGCTTGATTCATTAGATTAATTGCTTGGAAGATGTGTGTAAAATGGAAATTGGAGTAAAAGCAAACTCAGGTAAAGGTTTTGATACTTGAAATCCAATCATCAGTCAATTATCTTCTGCCTATCAATCTGTCTTCATATCCAAACTGTAATAGAAAGGTGTTAAATTTGATAAGTAATAGGAACATTACATTTTTATTAAAAAAAAAAAAATATGTATTATGATAAAAAATATTGTAATATATCTATATACATGTTTTTCTTATCAGAAAATCAACTTTGTCAGTCTACCATTTGTAGAGGTGATGTAATTTGGTTAAGGTGCTTGCCTTTCAATTCCAGAGTCCTAGGTTCAAATCCTGTGACATCACAGGATTTGAACCATGACTGAAAACATCTCAACTCCTAAACTTCTGTCCAGATTATCATATTTTATTTGACAAAAAACTGTTGTATGCCCATATATAGTCATGATGTGCCTATATATGGTCATGATGTGATGTCATCATGACCATATTTAGGCATGTCACATGTTTTTTTCAAATAAAATTTGATAGGCTGTACAGGGCATAAGCCTTGTAGCGTAAAACTACCCATGTGTCCTTACTCTTTTCAGAAGCTCCATTTTATTCATGGCATCCAAATCAGTGGTGGAGATTTTTCCTGCCAGTCTTCTATCATAATGGAATAATCCACCTGCTGCTAGTTGAGATTGCACAGTGGATTGTCCTGCGTCCAATCGAGGGCATCGCTGGAAGTGTTAGAGTTGCTATCATTTACTTCACCTGTGTTTTTGCAGGAAATTTGGTGAGCGATTCTTAACATAATTTTTTCTTGAAAAAAGAAAATTATTCTGCAGTTTTAAACTGTTCACTGTTGTCAATGAGTATTTAATTCATTGGTTAGTAATTAATAGAGACAGTGGATGTGGCTAGATATATGGAACATGGAGGAATTTCTCCCTGACAACTGGTCCTCTGTTTGTCTTGTGCCAACTGGGACTCAAATTCACAGGCCCTTCTCCAACTTCTATTTAGCTGCCCTACTTCAGTTACTGATTTAAAGAATGTGGCCAAGTTTGTAGAAAGAAATCCTGTATGCACTTTAGTCTACATTCTTGGGATCAAAAATCTAAAGCATAGTGCTTTAATTACCTCATGTCAGTGATATATCTAGGGAGTGCATGGGGGGGGGGGGGGGCAC